ATCGCACAGTTTTCAACTTCGATTTATCTAGCAACTGGCTTTGACGAGGTATGCGATCGGGGATCTAGAGATTTCAAGGATGATAGCAGGGTTGTCGCAATGCGAGAAAGCAAAACAATGTGGGTTGGTAGAAAATGAAGAATAGAGTAACTGTCGAAGTTGATTGAGGTGAATTTAAAGTTTCATAAGTCTGGAAAATCTGGGAAGAAAATGAGTGCCCAGAAGAGGACTGGGTCAACAATATCTCAAGCCCAAGATGGTTTGATGAAAGCGCGATGCGCTGCATGCATTTACCCTACCGCCTTCGGTTTGATGCCTTGATGCCTGGTATTGTGTTGTATTATATATACAAAGTTGGTATTGAATTATGTATTATTGGAAGTACCGCTACAATCAATACAGTACAATTTAACACTGACTCTGAGGTTCTTGGTGACTTCTTGGTACTCATACCCTTGTAAGAGACCTCACCCCAGAAAGTCAACATTGGCCCTCATATGACCTCACCTCTTTCATACCATTTACTCAACACTACCACCTGGACATCGTGAGCCCAAGCGACTTTTAACTGAGCTTTATTCCCTCACAATACTGGATGACTCCTTATCTGATTCATTTCTGGCCATGAATCTGGCTTTCCCTTGCCATGAGTATACAGGAGAATGTTGAGTCTCTTCCTCAATATCCTGGCGATGACACCCGGCCGACCAGCAAGAGGGAGCTCGCTGGCTGGTATTGTTATGGCTGGGCTGCCGAGGTTTTTGTTGTATGTGCCATGGGTATGTGTGATTCTACTTTGGATCTTATTCTTGGATCTTCATCCTACACTTTATCTGATCTGAGAAAGGTTCATTTCTTCCGATAACGCTGGAGCAGATGGCTCGGGATCGGGGAGTTTTGCTATCTGACAAAACCACACCATGCAGCACAAGTTGGACCCCCTCGCTGCCATCACCAGGCTCGGATGCACCGGTATATCTTCCCCAGGTGTCAGATGGTCAGTGTATCATCTACTTCCTCGGCGCTGAAATCAACACTGCAAGCTTTGCCCTATATACCTTTTCATTGAGCGTCTTGGTTCAGGCAGTCCTGATAATTTCAATGTCGGGAGCCGCCGACCATGGAACCTATCGCAAGAAACTCTTGGTTGTTTTTGCTTTCATTGGTTCAATCGCGACCATGTTGTTTTTGTTTGTGGTCCCTCAAATTTACCTCCTAGGTGGACTGCTTGCAATCATTTCAAATACTTGCTTTGGTGCGTCCTTTGTCCTCTTGAATTCGTTTTTACCTGTTCTCGTCCGCCACCACCCATCGCTCAAGGAAAGTGAAGAGGCGACGCCGTCAGGTAGTAATGTGACGAGCCCCAGCGGCCCTTTATTTTCTTCGACCGGAGATTTTGACCGAACAAACGTCGATGACTCCACGCCGCTACTCGGGCCTAACGGGGATATCACAAAAAAGTCTGCTGCCTCTATCACTTCCCTCGAGCTTAGACTTTCCACCAGCATCTCGTCCAATGGCATCGGCATAGGTTATATCGGTGCAGTGGTTCTACAGGTGTTTTCTATTTTAGTTGTTGTGATTGTGCGTCCACCAACATTCTCATTACGCCTTGTGCTTTTCCTGATTGGGTTATGGTGGTTCGTTTTCACCATCCCGGCAGCCTTGTGGCTGCGCACTCGACCAGGGCCGCCTTTATTGGGTAGTGACGGCAAACCGCTCCATTCGTGGATCGGATACATGGCCTATGCCTGGAAATCTCTTGGAAAAACCGTGATGCGGGCGCGGCAGCTGAAAGACATCATGATCTTCCTTGCTGCCTGGTTCCTTCTCAGTGACGGAATTGCCACTGTTAGTGGCACTGCTGTACTGTTTGCAAAAACCCAATTGAACATGAAACCTGCCGCCCTGGGACTGATTAATGTGATCGTCATGCTTGCAGGAGTATTCGGTGCGTTTTCTTGGAGCTACATATCAAATTTCTTCAATCTACGAGCCTCGCAGACAATCATTGCGTGTATCATCTTGTTTGAGCTCATTCCGCTGTATGGTCTTCTTGGGTTCATCCCGGCTGTGCAACGTGTGGGTCTTGGTCTCCATCAACCTTGGGAAATGTATCCTTTGGGGGCCGTTTATGGTCTTGTGATGGGTGGACTGTCATCATACTGTCGAAGTTTCTTTGGGCAACTCATTCCCCCAGGTTACGAAGCCGCTTTCTACGCGCTTTATGCCATTACCGACAAAGGGTCTAGTGTTTTTGGGCCAGCCATTGTTGGCGCCATTACGGATCGCTACGGTGAGATTCGACCGGCGTTTGTGTTCTTGGCAATTTTAATTATTGTGCCACTACCACTTATGCTTTTGGTGGATGTTGACCGTGGGAAACGAGATGCTCTAGCGTTGGGAGTCGAATTGGACGGCATATCGCAAGGATTTGAATATGGGATCATATCTGGTCAAACCACAGAGGATCCGATTGAAGACTAATGTGTGTGATGTGTCAAGCAGGATTTCTTTTTTTTTTTTTTTTTTTCTTTTCTTTCTTTGCTTTTGATATATTTGGTACCTAGGTAGTCTAGAAGGGAAACAATAAGGTAATTAAGGCCACTTGTCAACAATACTAAATATCAAGGGCATGTGCCCGTTCCCATTATAGTGTGTACCTGTACAGAGTACCTTATAAGGGTTTAAGTGTCTTGTACAATATACTCAAATTTCCCCATAAATTAGCCTGGTAGTGGAGGTACCAGGTACAAAGGTCCCTTGCAGCCCTTCATAGCCCAGTCACAAAGCTCCACCTTTAGTGAACAAACTGTCCTCAAGTTCCCCCCCATAAAACCTTCCCTCTTTCTTTTTAAGCTTGTCCCTACTTCATTCTTCTAACATTGAGCATTTTGGGCTTTTGTTTGATTTATCTTTTTACAATGCGGTCTTTCGCCCCCTAGTACTGACCCTCCTTGGAGCTACTGCAGTTCACGCTGCTGAGCCTGAAGTTGTCGACGCTGACGCTAATGTCGTCACCTTGACAACCGATACCTTTGATGACTTTGTCAAGGAGCACCCTTTGGTGCTTGCTGAGTTCTATGCACCTTGGTGCGGTCACTGCAAGGCCCTTGCCCCCAAATATGAAGAGGCTGCCACAGAGCTGAAGGCCAAGGACATCCCCGTGGTCAAGGTGGATTGCACTGAGGAAGAGGAGCTGTGCCGAACCTATGAAGTTGATGGCTACCCTACTCTGAAGGTCTTCCGTGGCCCCGACTCACACAAGCCCTACGCTGGTGCCCGCCAGTCCGACGCGTAAGTCATACGTTCCTGGTTCTGGTGCTTGGAAATTAACGCGTTTGTTCGATAGAATCATTTCATACATGACCAAGCAGTCTATGCCCGCCGTCTCAAACGTGAATGAGGAGAACCTGGAGGAATTCAAGGCCTTGGACAAGATTGTGATTATCGGATACGTGGCCTCTGATGATAAGGCCGCCAACAAGAGCTTCACTTCGTTCGCTGAATCCCAGCGTGATAACTTCCTCTTCGCTGCCTCCAATGACGCTGCTCTCGCCAAGGCCGAGGGCGCCAAGCAGCCCTCCATCGTTCTCTACAAGGACTTCGATGAGAAGAAGGCCGTGTATGACGGAAAGCTGGAGGATGAGGCAATCCTCGAATGGGTCAAGACCGCTAGCACTCCTCTTGTTGGCGAGCTTGGTCCCGAGACTTACTCAAAGTACATGGCGGTATGTTTTTTGTTTTTCAGCTTCTTCTCCTGTATTTGAGCAAAAGAAAACTGACTTTATACGACGATTCAGGCCGGTATTCCCCTGGCTTACATCTTCGCCGAGACTCCCGAGGAGCGTGAGCAGTTCGCTGCTGATTTCCGTCCCATCGCCGAGACTCACCGTGGAGCTATTAACATTGTTACCCTTGATGCTAAGCTCTTCGGCGCTCACGCTGGCAACCTCAACCTTGAGCCCGAGAAGTTCCCTGCTTTCGCTATCCAGGACACCACCAAGAACGCCAAGTACCCTTACGACCAGAGCAAGAAGGTTGATGCCAAGGATGTCGGCAAGTTCATCAAGGACGTCCTTGATGGCAAGGTTGACCCTAGCCTCAAGTCAGAGCCCATTCCCGAGACCCAGGAGGGATCTGTTACCGTCGTTGTTGGCCGTAACTACCAGGAGGTTGTCATTGACAACGAGAAGGATGTCCTGGTCGAGTTTTACGCTCCCTGGTGCGGACACTGCAAGTCGTAAGTCTTTCTACAGCTCATCTGTCATTTTTCGCATCCCTTAACTTATTATCACTAGCCTTGCTCCCAAGTACGAAGAGCTTGCTGCCCTGTACGCCGATGTCCCCGAGCTGAAGGAGAAGATCACTGTCGCCAAGGTTGACGCTACTGCCAACGATGTGCCCGATTCCATCACTGGCTTCCCCACTATCAAGCTTTACCCCGCTGGTGCTAAGGACTCCCCGATTGAGTACTCTGGTTCCCGTACTGTTGAGGACCTGGTCACCTTCATCAAGGAGAACGGCAAGTATCAGGTGGATGGCCTGGCCGATGGCGCCAAGAAGCCCGAGGAGCGTCCCGAGGTCACTGCTGCCCCCAAGGCCACTGAGTCTCCCGCATCCGATGAGAAGGATGCTCACGATGAGCTTTAAGCGCTTACTCGCTTTTTGAATGTGTAACTCAATATCTTGTATTCTTTGTCTGAACTCGAACTATATTCGATGCCATTTTATTCCCCGTAGATTGCTATGTCAGACTTGTAGTGGCTGGTAATGATAAAACCAGTAAATCAGTAAAAAGAAATTCTATAATATTATAAATATTGTAACTTCTACCAATTCTACCCTCTCTACTCCGTAGATTTCATCATAGCCGACCTTAGCCTTGCAGATCAGTCGCGTCGCGTGAAGGCGCGTCGATCTCGTATCGTCTCCGGAGGCCCCGTCAACCTCAGAACTTCTGGGGTCAACTCCTCAGTCTTCCTATTTACCCATTCATCATGGCCAGCCCTGCCATAAAAAGAAAATCGGAGCATCTCTCCACCCCTGACTCGAAAAAACCCAAAGGTGGAAGCATCACTGCATTCTTTGGAGCTCCAAAGCCGAAACCCCCGAACAATCAATCAACTTCAGCACCGACCCCACGTCCAAGCAGCTTTGATAAGGAAAAATGGGTTGCTTCCCTGACGCCAGAACAAAAGGAACTCTTGCAGTTGGAAATCGATACCTTGGATGAGAGCTGGCTCGCTCACTTGAAGGATGAAGTGGTCAGCACTGAATTCTTGAACTTGAAGCGCTTCCTAAAAAAGGAGAAAGATTCCAAAGTTAAGGTCTTTCCACCAGAGGAGGATGTCTATTCTTGGTAAGTTAGATCCCCCTATCCAGCCCAAACCCGTGTGCTGATCAGATCGTAGGTCCCGATACACACCACTGCACAACGTCAAAGTGGTCATCATTGGGCAGGATCCGTATCACAATCACAACCAAGCTCATGGGCTATGTTTCTCCGTCCGTACCCCTGTGCGAGCCCCGCCATCATTGCTCAATATCTACAAGGGTATCAAGATCGACTATCCCGACTTCGAATCACCGCCCGATAAGGGAGGGCTACTCATACCTTGGGCGGAGCGTGGCATCCTGATGCTCAACACTTGCCTTACTGTTCGTGCCCACCAGGCCAACAGTCATTCCAACAAGGGCTGGGAGAAATTCACACAGAAGGTTATCGATCTCGTTGCTCGGGTACGAACCAACGGCGTCGTCTTCCTTGCTTGGGGCCGGCCTGCCGGAACCAGAGTGGCAAAAATCAACAAAGAGAAGCATTGCATCTTACAATCCGTGCACCCCAGTCCTCTGAGTGCGCATAATGGCTTTGTGAGTAGATCATCTTCTAGGGACTTGACTTGTACTTGAAACTCTTCATGGCTGACAGTGATATATAGTTCAAAAATGGACACTTCAGGAAGTGCAATGATTGGCTTGCTTCACGGTACGGACAAGACGAAATCATTGATTGGAGCTTAGTGCCGTCCAAAAAACCCCTGTTGGCTCCTTGCGTTTCTGATAAGGAAGATTCGACCGCTTTGGTCAACAACGTGCCAGTTGAGCCTCAATCTGCGAAGGTTGAAGATGCCAAAGTCCAGCCTGGGGAGTTTGATGAGTTTGATGATGATGACGCTGTTGAAGCCCTGGTAGCAGCTGAAGCAGCGAAAGCTTCTTCAAATCCAGTTTAGACTTCTGACTATATGCATACCCATCCCGAGGTCTCACTTTGCTGGCTTAGAAAAGTCCTGTGTTGGCTATTGTTTGCTTCCTTGTTGTTTCCATGTTCCAGCCTGGGGGGTATTTAAGGCGTTAAAAAGTCGGGCGCATGGTATTTCAGATCGATTTCGGACCTACTTGCACGTTTACACTAATCGTCATTTTAATCCATTCAAGTAGGAAAATGCATACCCAATGTGTACATACTTCGTAAGCTTGAGCTCATTGGTTCCCAAATCTTGGAAGCTCCTTATCGATAAGCCAATCTCGATCTCGACTAAAAATCTCCCCTATAAAAGCACCTGTGGTGTAAATGGTTTTCCTAGATGGAACTCACTTGGCTCCCAGATATCCCCCAGTCGCGGAATCGCACTAGAGCCTTGCGGGCTTGTCCCACGTGCCAGCGATCAAAGGTGCGCACGCGAACATTAAACCCAGCAATCCTCCATCTAACCTCACAACAGAAACGATGCCGACATTTAATCCCCAAATGGGAGCCCTCCAATGATCCAAATCGACGGTCACCCCAATTGAACGATGATCCTGCCAGGCCTACCCACAGAGATGTCTCGAATCGCGAGCAGCTTCCTGCATCCGCGCACATAGACCGAACACGGACAACATCCGATAATCCAGCTTTGTTATCGGTCCCTGCCACCGAGCGATTTGTGGGAGATCTCAATCCAGAATCCCTGATTCGCGAGAGATTAGATGAGCCGACTGGGAGCCCTCTACGGGATCGCATCGGGCTCTGGATCAACTCCCCAGCTGCGCAGAAAGCGAAGCCTCGGAGCGTACAGAGAGGACAAGCCACAGCCGAAGAATCTGCAAGCAATTTACCGGCCGAAACGGCAATAGATGGCCAAGCCATTGCATCATTACTTCACCAACGGTTTACCGCGGGGATGCAAGCATGCGAACGACTACCCCTCGGGACGCGGCAGTATTTGTCCGCTATCTACTTCTCCAAGGTTAACCACATTGTACCAATAGTCGACCAAGAATTTATCCAAGCCCAAGCAGAAGGGTTGGCGTCGGTGTTTCTAGAAAAAGCCATATGCCTCACCGCAGCAAAGACCCGTGCGGCTAATCCGTACCTACGCCTTGTGTCAGGCGGCCCAATCCTATCGTCACGCCAATTCTGTTCTGAGATTTATAAGGGGCTGGTCGTCGCCATGGACGCAGAGCTAGAGCCGGATCGGTTGACACGGATTCGCATCCTAGCACTAATGTCCTTGCATTGTGAGGGCCTTGAAGGGGCCGAGGCAGCGTCTCTGCACCTCTGTCAAGCTATCCACCAGGCCCAGACGGTAGGATTGCATCTTGGCCGACCGAATCAAACCTCCACAGATTCCCTGACTAAACTTTTTTGGTGTCTATGGACATTGGACAAGATGCATGCAAGTATCGGTGGCCGGCCGGTTCTTTTAGCTGACCGTGATATCGGGGTCGTGAAGCCCAGTGTCAGGGCTCCGACGTCACGAGGGGCTTTTGAGGTGTGGCTTGCTGTTTCAGACCTACTCGCAACTGTGATATCGTTCTATCGACCCTCTGCAGAAATCACAAGCGGTTGGGAAGAGGGGTTCCCTGCATTTGAGGATATCGTGGGGGAGGGTACCCAAGATGATCTGGATTTTGCTACTCTAGGTATGCCTGTCATGGATATCTCTGCTCTGCCGTCGGGGCATTTTAACTAACCGCGAGCAGGCTTCTTAGAGCTTTATTATCATTCTGTGGCTATTTTGTCCTGTCGATATAAACCCACCGAGAGCATCGATGGCACCAGGCTCTCGTCTGTCAGACAAGGACTGGCAGCTGTTCGTATTCACTCCATCGTGGCATCGGAATGTGCAGATGACCTACCACCTCTCCCAATCGTGCCATACTCTGTCACCTTGTCGATGGGTGTCTCGTACCGCCAACTCCGCTCGAGCAGACTTATCACGCATCTCGACCGAGCGAAAGCTAGTCTTGAGGCGTGCCGCTCTGTTCTAGAAAACCTTAGTCCATACTGGTATTCCGCCGAGGCGATGGCCCGGTTGGGCCAAAAAGCCTTGCACCAGATCCAAGGCAAGTCACAATCCTCTCGAACAAACCCTGCGGGTCCACAGCATGTGGCAGAGTCCTCGCACAAACAAGTCAACGCCGACATCTCGGTATCAGAGGGGCTAGAGACGACCAAGTCCGTACCCCAAGACAACGACTCCCCCCAAGCCAAGAGGCAGCGCAATAACAGCTATGGAATCGCAACTGTGTCTCCGGCACCGGAAATTGCAATGGAGGTCCACCAACCTCCGGTGGGTGATCTTGATACATCTATGCAAGACGGGTTTGCAGACATTGACACACTGTTTGGAGAGTTCCTAGATATCTCTCTACCCACCAATTTCTGGGACCCTATCTTTATGGACGCTGAAGGGCAAACGAATGATATGCAGTCGTAATCATCATCATTATAAATATATACTGTATATAAAGAGAAAACAATGAGAAGGAACTATACATGATGCAGCATAAATTTTAGTGTCGGGCCATTCGCCTGTGCCAACCTTCCACCAGGCATGTAGGATATACCTAGGGATATGCAAAAAGCTATCCATTGTATTTACAGATCAGAGAATGACTGTATCCAAACCCGAGTTGCCTCTCAAATATAGTATTCAGTCTGAAAGTTTCATAGCCTCATGCTCGGACATGCTGTTGTCCGCCAGATGGGCGAAATCAACAGCCTTAGTATCAAAGCCCATCATGTTCACGTTATCAACGTCAAAATCAAAATCCTTCTCCTGATCCGGGGCACCGTTTTGTTGGGTATTGTCATCAGCAAAGAAATCGGTATTGCCCGGATCGTCGAAGTTGATAAGAGCGTCGAAGTCATTTTGGGTAACCTCGGCATCATTTGCCAGATCCATGAGTTCGGTAAGACTCATTTCAGAGGGCATAACAAAGGCATCGCGATCCTTGTTGCGGTTGGCAATTGGATTGAGGTTATTGGTGCTGCCGTTTTCACTTCCATCGGAGTGCGGTGGCGTCGAAGCGAACAAGTCTCCGGTAGACAGTCCGCCCGCGGCAGGACCGGAGAGTTTGGGGTATGTAAGGTCCGGGATCTTCTGGGCGAGGGAATCCGGCGGGGGTGTCAGGGTGTGCAGGCGGGAGGGGGTGGTGGTAGAGCCGAAGGGGTCTGCGGATGTGGTAGGTTGGTCGCGGGGATGTGAAGAGGCAGAAGAAGATTGGACGTCTTGGGGGAGACGGTGAGCTGGATGCCTGCTTTGCGGATTGCGGCTTCGAGGAAGGAGGTGGCGAAGTCTGCTGAGGCGTAGATTTCGCGCAGGCGCTGGAGGATGCGCATGCATTGATAGAAGCGATGGAGGCTTGTCATGCGGATGTTTGGGTCAGTGGACTTGATGTCGAGGAGATGGATGATGACGGCTGGTAGGAGGACTGTGACGCCGGTGGTGGGGTAATACCGGGTCAAGTCGAGGCAATGCAGGTCCTGGGCGATGGCAGTGATCTCAACTGCGGCGAATCGCACCTTGTTTCGGGACATATCTTGGAGTTCGGCGTCTGTGGATGGATAAGGGATGGCGGGGAGGACTTGTGGGCGGTGCAAAGCGCTGGACGTAGTGAGGTAGACCATCTTCAGCAAGGCACGGTGGGAGTGAAGCACTTCGTCTGCTTCGGATAGCTTCGATCCACTAGAGGCTGCATATTGGGTTTCGATAGGGAGGTTGGCCAGCCAGTCCTCCAATTCCTGGTCACAACTTCGTACCTCAAAGGTCTCCGCGGTGGATTTCTTCGGGACGAGCATCATCGTGGTCTCCATGGTGCCACCAAACTTATGGCTGAGGACTGAGTACTGGGCAGATAATACATGGCTGACGCAGAGACAGAGCTTGGCTTTCTCGATAAACATCAACGCGAGCTCACGTTGATGGCTGACATTCTGGAGAATCTCCGAGTTGCCAACGATAGCCACGATCTCGGGGGAGAAAGGACGAAATTCAAAGTCATCGAGGCTCAGCATGGGCACATCACAATCGTCATCCTTGACACGCATGGGCCGTCGCATGCCCAGGGCAATCAGTCGGTCACGGGTGTAGGTGCTCCACCAGATCCGCTTCCACATCCGTTGGCGACGCACATCCATCCGCGAGTTTCCGGGATCCCGGTGCAGGCCGATTGTGTGGGCCAACGACAGGCTGACTCCCATCCAGTGCCAGGTGTCTTTTTGGTCATCGGGAGTCTCGTACCAGTAGGTCATGAGCAGAAGTGACTGCACGAGCGAGATGCGGTCCACCTCGTAGTCGAAATCGTACAGGAGACGGGCACGCTGGAAGAACACCTTCCGGGCGACCTTGCGGGTCTGGTAGCCGGCGGCCTGCAAATGCTTCATATCAATGAAGGCCACACCGGCGAACATGACTGCTTGGAAGAGCAGCAGACTGATGCGGTGGATTCCATCGTTCTGCACGATATTCTCCAAGAACTCCTCCAGGTCGAGTAAGGGCATATAGGTGTGAACATAGTGGATGTAGCTCTTCAATAGTTCGTTCCGTAGTGTGACGTCGGGGATGGTCAGGGCACCCTTGACGGCCAAGTAGTCAATATCCTCTTTTTGGAGTCGTGCCGGGAGTCCTCGGATGTAATCCGGGAGGAACCCACTGGCAGATCGTGTATTACCAAAATTAGGATCTAATAATTGTTGAATTTGCGAGGTCACGTTGGCTAATGGCATAGAGGCGGGAACTGCTGGGTTCGGGGCCATACGGCGTCGATAGTGATCATCGGAGCCAATGCGTTGAGCCTGGTTTTGATCTGTTTTTTTTTTTCTCTTGTCAGCCAAATGGAGTTCCTGGAAGTTCCTGGGAGTTCCCAAGGGAATCGACGAACATAGCAGATGAGGCATATGTTGGCCCTGGTCCAAATCCACCGAGGCCTGCGAGGGAGACGTCGGCACCAAATCGGCCAACCCTGAAAGATCACTGAGTCGGTGGAAAGAATTCTCCTCCGAGGCCTCTGGAGATTCAGAGTGGTTCTCTATCTCAACGCGAGATTTCCTAGATCATATGTCAGTGACATTTATTGATTTTCCTTTTCAATTCCACGAACTTTCTGCGTTTACTCTCCGTGACCACGCACTCGACCTGATCTAAACGGCAATTTGTGCATGGAGAGCCATTCTCGACCACATCACAGCGCACTTTACGGGCACGGCAACAACAGCAGGCTTTTGAGGCGCGTCTCTTCACGGGACGGTTATGAGAGAGCCCGGCCGTGGATGCCTTTCGTTTCCCAGATTCGGTATCAGTCATCTTGTGTTATGGGCGAATGGGGAACATTCGAGTTATATAGAGACACTGAGAGCATGTGATACAGGGAAGAATGTCATATGCATGTGAAAAGGGAAAGGAGAAGGAAAAGGGAAAAGGACAAAAAGCTGAAATAGAGAGGGAACCCTTTTTTTTTTTATTCGAAGGTTTATGCCCCAGGTTCCCACAGTTTTCCTTTCCATGGTTGAACCCGCAAACAGCCAAGGTTTGAGGGGAATAGATCCCGTAAATTACTGCCCCAGTATTACAGTACCTTACCAGACTGTAAATTACTCAATTAGGTAATATGCCAACCTTCGGGAGCCATCCCTCGGCCCGGTCACGTTACACTCCATGTGAAACCTCAGTCAATTCTCTTCTTTCGCTGGAAGCTATACGGAGTAGACTTATATCTTTATATGGAAGAGTTTACCTCTTCCTTTTATTCTTCTTTTTCCCCTTAAGTGGACCTCCGAGAAAGACCGAAGTTAATAAATAAAAAAGTGAAGATCCTAAGCGGGTCATGTGAAAGGGGAGTTTTGCAGGATTTTCCCACATTCCCCCGACTGTCCCGGACTTTTCAGCCAAGACTGGAGAGTTCTCCAGTTTCCGACAAGCGGAGCCCATGGGGTCGGCCCTTTTTGAGGGAGAGAACGCGTCTGGACCGATGAGTAATATGATCATTGTTCGATTGGTTTCTGCATTTTTAGACCGTTCTATACATCTAGACTATATAATGCTATATAGAGGATCAATGAGTGATTGAAACTATATAGAATTTCAATCATTTGTATAATATCAATAATAACAAAGGCTTCACAGCTTTACATTTATCATCTTCCGTGTCTAGGCCTCCAGAACCACAGTGGGGTGAGACAATTAAATTGTATCCGTACAAGTTCGTGTTAGAAAGTAATCCGGCTTTACAGACTGTCCGGAATACTGGCCGGAATGCCCCCCTGAAACGGGCCATGAATTTATTATATGTTTCAGCCGGCCTGCCGAGTTAAACCTATCACGTGGACATAAAAGTGCCGATTTTCGGAAGAACGCATGTAATATTATATGCATGTACGGAGAACCCCGTTATTGTGTTTAAAACATGACGCAATCTAAAAGCCTGAAATTTAAGGAGTCCAAATAAATGGAGAATTCTGTCTTTTCACGAGGTCGAAAGCGGATCTACGCCAATCACGAATATGGCAAAGGTCACTTTTTTTTTTTTTTTACACTCTCCGGCATATTCCGTTAAAATGAAGGTCCATTCAAAAGCTTATGCTTTGATACGCCGATGCTATCCGAACGGTTTCCTACACTTTTTCCGATATCTAGATATATTCTCCCTACCAATCATTTAAATAGAACTTATACATATTAAAATGGGTATGTGTATGTGATTGACAAGTTAAATAACTCATTTGCCAAGAACTACGGCAAGACCGGCATTTTCTCTCCCCCCCCACGTTTGGGGACAAAGCTAAAGCATGTCAGCTATGGGGAAGGGTGGCGTACTCCAAATGCGGGGAGAATTTGAATAGATTACTGTTAGATACATAAGTAGGTACTAGTTCTTGTATATGTTGTACATATATATATATACCTATATATGTATAAGAACTACATTGTAATAAGGAACTCAGGACTCATTAGGCCATCTCCGGGGTAAACCCTTTTTTACGGAGGTTCCATGGTTAATATATTTCGATCCATTCGAAGGTTAGTCCACTTGAAGCATAAGCACAGCCTCAGTGGCACACTGGAATGATCTGGATATGGAATCGTTGCATCATTTTATATCACTGTTCATCCAATTGCAATCTGGATCTTAGCAGAGAAATAAAAGTAAGACATAAACATCATAAAACCAAATTTAGGTAAAGCCGCAAAACATCTGCCGGGGAATCAAGATGGGAATGACCCACGAAAAAAGAAAAAAAAAGAAACAAAAAGCAGAAAAGGGAAATCCAAGTCAAATCCATAAACCTAAACACCACCGCGGCCCATCCTCTCAATTGAACTCATGATTCCGCCTCGACCGGGGGTAGGCATGGCTATGCCCGATCGGCCACCGCTGTTACCGCGAGAATGACCGGGAGCACCGAATCTAGGAATTCTCTTTTCCGTAGTGGGAGGAC